CCCCCCCCCCCCCCCAAAAAAAAACCTTTCTGGGGAGCGGTATCCACCCCTTTCCCCTCCCCTACCTTGAACTCGCAAGTTTAAGGGTTTATTTGATTAAGCAAAGTAGCAACGACAATGTCGACAATAACAGCAAACAAAAACTACCGTATCCATAAAATTGTTCATATCTTGGCCTTACCTGCAGTTGTTGTTATCTGTTCTTCTGCTGTAAGACCAAAGCCCTCGGAGGTTTTTGCTCGTAGTTCCACTTTATAAACTGCATTAACCTTGAGCCCACCAAACTCATGGGAACGCACCTCACTCGATAAGTTAATGGTCTGGTGGATAGAATCGCTTTGTGGTGTTAACACAAGTTCATATCCACTAACTGAACTCATTCTAGATTTTGCTTTGCGTGGAGGTATCCATTCCACTTTTACTGCATGTCCGCACTTGATTGCCTCAGAGGTCACAATTATAGGGCGTAAAGGTACTTTAGAAACTCCTATAAATATCAAACATACTGATCAATTAGTCATTGAAGTGACAGGCATCCAATGCGAGAGGGGTGGATTTTTTTATCCTACTTCATGTTGAGGTCAAAAAAGTCAACTGAGATGAGGTGAAAGGTGAATTGGGTTCGGGTGGGGTAAGGTGAGTTTAGGTGAAGTGTGAGGTGAGGTGCGTGAAGTAAGATGGGATAGGGAGAGGATAGATGAATTGAGGTGGGGTGCGGCTCTAGATGATGATTGAAGTGAGTTGAGTTTGGGTGGTGAGAAGTGAAATGAGGTGAGATGAGATAAAGTAATGCGAACGGAGGGATGTGGGATGTGACGTTGGGAGCTTTCAGGTGATAGGAAGTGTGGTAAGGTAAGGAGTTGAGTTGATGAGGGAGAGTTGAGCTGACGTGAGGCAAGTTGAAGTGAGGCGAGGCGAGGTGGGTTGTGATATCCAAGATTGAAAGATTAAAAATACGCATGAAATGCTTACCAACGTCGTAAAGGGGAATATCGTTTTCTGCGAGTGTTATGTTGGACAACTGTAAGGCACACTCGTATTGTCCCAAATCGTCTTCTGAAATGTTCATGATCTGGAGAACGGCCCACCCTTTTGACTGCTGACAAAAGTTAGGAGGCAGGTGGTTGTAAAGCATCTTGTATCTTTCGTTCTCTTTAATTTCTTTTTCGTTGAATCTCCAATGCCAGTAGTAAGAATTTAAGTGTCGGCGATCCATACCTTCAAATTCACATTTTAAAGTTGCATTTCCTCTTGGTGCAACTCGAGGAGGCGAAGTGGTGAGTGTGAAGTGTTCTGGTGGACCTGCAGTATACACGCGAAGTGGAAAGAAGACAATGAAATGTTATTAATTATCATAGTTGTTGGTACAACCGCAATAAGTACAGTGACAACAACAATTAAACCAGCAGAAACAGCAGCAGCAAAACAGCAACAAAGCGGACAAGAGTACGGAAGCATAGGGATTGGAAAGATCAAACGTGTAGCTTTAAGCAATAACTAGCGATCAGCGACAATGAAGTTTCGGAACTTGTGTCGGAGGAACAGGCTTCTGATCATCGAAAGGGACACTTCATGAAACCAAGCCTAAAGTCGATAAAAATGGGTGCTAATGCATAAGTAATAACCCTTTGCTCGAGGTCCCTTAATGGTGCTGACTACACAAAGCTATATTTCGCAGTGACTCCAAGTAACATCTAAATCGATCAGTTGTCGGGTTTCTGGCCCAAGAAAAACAAGTGCCTTTTTTTTTTCCTTAATGGCTAACTTACCGTAATCGGGAATTCCACTTTTAGGCTTGGTTAATTCTATGTACATATTAATCTTTTTCTCACGGTCTGTCAGTGGTGTTTACTAAACGGCCGCAGCCTAAGATCCTGATTGAAATGCAACAAGTCATTGAGTAGCCTTGAACAGGCACAATCCGTCTGTTTGACCGTCTCCGTCCATCTGTCTATCAGTCTGTCTGCGTGCCTGCCTACCTGTTTCTCTGCCTGTCGTTTAAACGAGAACTGACAATAACCGCATCTTAATGAATCTGATGAGTTCAATGAATCATTGTGTAGTAAAGAACATCATGGATTTATTAACTCCACTTACATTTAATATGGATGACTTCCACCCTTATGGCACTGCAAAGACTTCCACAGAAGTTCAATACAACGACTAAGCAAGGACATCCTTTTCATAAAAAGGTTACAAGAGCTACCGAAATATATCATATTGTCTGGGTGGATTGAAAGTAAATGTTATGATCTAGCTGGGTATAAAGAATATCGAGAGTTAATTTCGGTAACGAGTCGTATCGAGAAAACCGGCTCAACATTGATAACAATAGACATTGTTTTAAGACCTAAAATTGGTCTTATATGGTCATTTTGAACAATGGCGGTATAAGCTTCTAAATGCCCACGGGAGTTTTTGAAATTTCCGATTACCATACGAGCGCGAAATTTAAACGATCGGAAAGACTGAATGGAAGACAAATTCTCCCGAGGGGAGATGGTATTGGTATAATCCTGTCGGTGCAAATAGTTGCGGTGGGGTGGCTNTCTTTTAGTCTTAAAATGAAGTGGGGCTATATTTCGGCCTAGAAGCTCGACACCGAGCGTGCGCTCCTTTTGCCTCTGTCCATTTCACTGAAAACTAAGGCCATCAAGAGTTAGTTTAGAGTCCCCTGGACTGGAAAATATCCCGCAAGCTCCGGAAAATCGAGCCAAAGTTGCTCAAAATCACGATGCGCGTAAGGCGGTCTCGGCTAATCTTTCAGTCTTAAAATAAAGTTGCGCTATATTTCGGCCTAGAAGCTCGACACCGAGTGTGTGCTCCTTTTACCATTGTCCATTTCACTGAAAACTAAGACCATCAAGAATTACTTTCGAGTCCCCGGGACTGGAAAATATCCTCCAAGCTCAGGGAAATCGAGCCAAAGTTCCTCAAAATCACGATGCCGGTAAGGCGGTCTCGGCTACTCTATCAGTCTTAAAGTGAAGTGGGGCTATATTTCAGCCCAGAAGCTTGCAAGTGAGCGTTGAAAAAGTTTTGCTGTGTCCATTGCACTGCAAACCAAGGCCTTCAAGAGTTAGTTTAGAGTCCCCGGGACTGGAAAATATCCCCCAAGTTGCGGGAAATTCAGCCAAAGTTAGCCAAAATCACGATGCGCGTTAGGCGGTCTCGGCTACTCTATCAGTCTTAAATTGAAGTGGGGCTATATTTCGGCCCAGAAGCTCGAAACTGAGCGTTAAAAAAGTTTTGTGTTCTCCATTTCACTTCAAACCAAGGCCATCAGGAGTTAGTTTAGAGTCCTCGAGACTGGAAACTATCCCCAACGTATCAAGAAAACCGGCTCAACATTGATAACAATAGGCATTGTTATAAGACCTAAAATTGGTCTTATATGGTCATTTTGAACAATGGCGGTATAAGCTTCRAAATGCCCGCGGGAGTTTTTGAAATTTCCGATTACCATACGAGCGCGAAATTTAAACGATCGGAAAGACTGAATGGAAGACAAATTCTCCCGAGGGGAGATGGTATTGGTATAATCCTGTCGGTGCAAATAGTTGCGGTGGGGTGGCTGGTAGGGTGACGGTTGTACACATCTATTTAAAAGTGAAAGTAAAAGCTGCCGACAAGTAAGGAATCTTTTTGCTTTAAAATTGCTCTAACCTGATAAACTCACCACGCGTGGGAGTGAAAGTGAAGTTCGCATTTGGCTAGATTTCGAACAGGCTCCCTTTCGCTCTAAAACCCATAAGATCAGTGTAGGATGAACGCGAAAATAGCGAGCGCGATAATCGAGCGGCAAAGCTGCTCGCTTCGCGCTCCCGCTGTT